ATACACTTTGTGAAAAGGTGCTTCTTCACCAGAGGCATGGTGAACTGAGGTATGCCTAAACATAACTACCAGTATTTATGTTTTCATTCAAAAGAAATTATTTCTCCTAAAAAGTTATTTAAGTAAATCTATCCTTCTGTGACTTTCACTATGTTCCTTAGTTAATAGTTTGTCCCTTTTGTTAGAATATGTGTCTTGTGCTTGATCTGCAAGACAAGATTGCAACATACCCTGGACTGCATCTTAGCATTTTTGTTTGCATGAATTACGTGTTGCTTTCTTAATGAACTTTCTGTGCCAGAACAATGCAGTGAAGAGCAATGCCTCACAAGTAAACTTAATCATATTTCTGGATTGTCTCATTTTCATTCTTTGCCCTGTATCATCCCAGTCCATTTTTCATCCTAAAGTAATGTCTGCTATCCGTGCCAAGACATATGAATACTAAAAAAATCATGGCTCTGTGAATTCACTACAAAAATTCCAACTGAGAAACAATTGCAAGAAAAAATACTGAAAGAATTAGTTCCTTATCCTTTTAAGAATAAGTCTGATTATGACCACTTTTGAAGTTAAACTTCTACCTCTTTAGTAAGGCTCATTCTGGCTGAACTCTAAGACATATAATCTTCAGTATAAATTATGGCCAGGAAGTAACATACACAAGGACATGTCACTGTAACACATGCTACATGTGGGGTTCTCAGGGTGGGGGCTTTGGGAATTATTTGGAAACTTCAGCAGGTCCAAAATGTTGTGGCCAGACTGCCAACTCAGATTACACACAGGAATGATATGCCAAACCTGACAACTTCACTAGCCATTGATGCATTTCTAGGTATAATTTCTAGATATGCTCTATGTCCTGCTTCACAGCTTAAGATCGTCAAGGGAGGCCCTACTCTCGGTCCCGCCAGTTTCGCAAATGTGTTTGGCGGGGATGAGGGACAGGCTCTTCTCGGTGATGGCTCCCCACCTGTGGAACTTGCTTCCCAGTGAGAGTAAGTCGGCTTCATCCCTCCTGTCTTTCAGGAAGAAATTGAAATAATGGTTCTGGAGCCAGGCTTTTGGGCAGGAGGCATAACAGCACTTCAGATGCGGAATTGGACTGGAATGGCTATATGGTTGACAATAATGCTTTAAATTGTTTTTAATGTACTATATATTGTTTTAAATTGTTGTTACATTGTTGTATTTGTCTATTTGTTGCGGCATCGAATTGTTGCCGAGTGTAAGCCATCTTGAGGTCGTCGTCCCCGGGGGGGGGGGGGGGGGGGGTTGAGAAGGATGGGATAGGGATAGAAGGATGGGATAGAAATGCTGGAAATAAATAAATAATAATAAATAACAATTCAATATGCTGGTTTTAGCAGCAAAATCAACATGGCTTGGAAACACCCAACTCGCTATATGAACTACCCACTCCCAAGTCTTGAGATGTTCAGATGATGGCTTTCTCCATCAGAAGGCATTTAATGAAGAAATATTGGAGGTCCTTCTTGATGGCTGCTCCCAGAATGTAAAACTACCTCCCAACCAAGATCCTTCTGTTTTCCTTTGACCACTAGAACATACATTTTAATTTAGCCAGGTTCTTGACTACAGAAGGGTCTTTAAAAGGGAGGTCCCTTTAAGGGGGATACTGTACATTTATCCTAACTGTTATATTTTAAATGTTTTGGGATGTACACGTCAATGCTGTTCTTTAAGAGATAGATTATCTAATTTTATGTTTTCCACCAATATGATCAGCCATATTTTCTTTTGAACTGTGTTGTGAACCGTCTGGGTCCTATACTGAAAGAAAGATGGAATATTAAGCATTTCAAGCATGAAAAAATGGTTTTGGAACCTATTAGTGAAAACTACCACAACATGAGAAAGTTTTCATTTTCCACCCACTCATCTCTTTGGTCATCGAGCCTTCAAGGATAGTGCAACATTCTGTAACATGACTAGTCAGTCAGGCATAATATCAAACCACACTTCAGCTAAATTATATTTTGCAAATGACCTTTTTGCTTCTCAGATCCTATTCTGGTAGCTGCTCACAAACCATGGTTTGTCAGATGGTATTTATTCTATATCCATTACATCTGAACCATCCTGTGGCCTTTCTCCTTCCTACCCAGTGGGGAAAGTGGGAGGGAATCAACACTTCAAAAGCAGTTGCACAGGGTAATACACTATTGGCAATAATATATTCAGAATAATAGCGTGCAAATTCTACTTTCATATTGAGAGAGCATCCAGATACATGTCAGCTCTCCAGTGTGCATTTGTAAGTTCACAGCAAGACTGAAAACAATAGGTAGTTGGCAGACACTGAAGAATCTGATTAACATTCTCTGCCATTTCAATGATACATAATAATTGCTAAAATAATTACGTCTCTGATCTTCCGAAGTACCTTTCAGAGGTAGGATTTGAAATAGTGCATAAAATTAGCCCCTCTTGCCATTCTGTAAGCAAATCATTCCTATGAGAGAATAGGCCTGTACAAAAACAACTAGTGTTACTTAATTATGAAAACTGTGAGTTATTTGTACACTGTCAGCATTGTTTGAACAAAATATTAGTCACGCTGTCCTGACTTGAACTAAAAACAGAGTTTTAAAAATAAAGTCACTCCAATGAAAAGTAAAGTCATTCCAATGAAAAGTTAAGTCACTCCAATAAAGCTACACCTCAGTTAACAAAATAGATGTCTTCCTGGACATTGCTTCTGCAGTACACAATTTGGTGTGAGGCAGACAGTGCATTAAAAGAATAGAAATCGGCTCCTAAACAACAAGAAAACAGAGTTCAATGTGTTTCAGCAAACTTTTTATCCAAAACTTTTACATTTCTTTCACATTTCTTATCTCCATTTTCGTGGTGAGAAATTTATATATTTTTTTGACATGCAGGGGGTAATTGGTGATGCAGGCACACATCATGCCCTTCACTTGCCCTTCTGTTTTGCTATTTATACTGTATATGTTCAGTAAGGAATTATAGCGGCAGTGGAAAAGACCTCCATATATAGTAGACCTGCCAACACATGCACATTCCCAATGTATATGTCCTTTTTGCATTAAACATCGCTTCCAACGAAGATTTAGGTCTTGGTGTGCATATGGAAAACAAACATTTCATTTCTAGTATCTAAGTCTCTTCAACAAAAGAGCAAACTTTACCCTCTAGCACTGTACTTGTTCAAAAAGGTACTCACTACATAACCCGAGACCAACATATTCCCTTTCAAGCTAAACAGGTTCCACAAATAATTCTGTGAAATCATGGGCACTTTTTGCTTGGATTTTTCCAACTTGGTCCTTCTATGTCAAGCCATTGAATATGCAAAAAAAAAAAAAAGTAAAAAAAAAAAAGTAAAACACAATGCATGATAGATACAACAGGTTATAAAGTATAAGGGGCAATGTGAGCATACCTAAAGTAGCTCTTTGGATGCTGGCCAAAAATCTAACAAACACTAAGATAATCAATACATGGCTATCCAATCAGGAGAGAACATAGTTACAAAGTTGAAATGAGATTTTAAAAGGGTGCAGATATATCAAGAGCCAATGTGGCCAAGAAAGGCTACGCCTATCAATCTATTTAATCTATTCCTTTTTTATGGCTCAGGAAAATTCATTTGAACCAAAAGTATATAAGAAGATAAAAAGATAGCTTCTGTCAAAGAAGGAGGAAAAAAGAGGGGGGAATTAAGAAAGGAAGCTTTCCTATTCTTCTTCACCACCACCACCTTCCACCCCTTTCCACCCCTTTCCACTTGATTTAGTCATGGGGCAGATGTGAACCCATTATCTCTCTGTTGTATCATATTTCTCAATGTCTCCCCCTTTCTTATACTCCCATTCTACAGAGATGGCACATCGACATTGTGGCTATGACTGCATGGTTTGCAAACTGGAATGAAGAATGCTTTAGTAGTGGTTGATGATGACACAGGAAGAAGAAGGGAGTAGATGGTGAATACATCCTTTTAGGTATGCTTAGGGTTCCTTCTTCTCCTACATGTTTGCTCCCGAGGTGCCAGGAGAAGGGAGAGGAAGGAGACAAGGAGAGATTACACCAATCCCAGTGGTTGTTAAGTAGGTGACACTGACCTAATTAGGTATTTGGTATGATGAAAAAAATGACTATAAATCTCTAAGCCATTCTCTGCTCTGCTCTTGAGCAACTATTGAGCCCCATGAGGATGGTGTTAGGTTAAAAAAAAAATATTTATTTGAGTCCCTAGGGGCACTCAAAGCGAGGGGACTCAATTGCTCTACTGTTTAATTTGAAGAAACAAAAGAAAGTCATAATATATTCTACATTGAGCATGGATTATAGCCCTCCAGAGATTGTTTGACTGCAACCCCTATAATCCCTCTCATTGGTTATGCTAATGGAAATGACAGTTTAACAATATTGGAAAGGTCACAAGTTGTTCACTTCACCCACCATACAATGTCTCTCCCCCCCTCCCCCCAAATAATAATAATTATTATTATTACCGCATTGAGTCGCCCGTCTGGGCTGAAATATGCATATAGAAATAAAGCAAATAAAGCAAATAAATAAATAATTCACTACTTCAGCCTTTGGCCCTTATCTAAAATATTTATTTCCATATGATGTCATGTTAAATGGATCTTTTATCGATAAGCACTCTTCCAATTCATCAAGAGTATACTTTGGACTAATTACTAATTATATGACAAAATGCTATACCATGAAGAAATTATGTGTTTCACATAGTAACTGATTGTAATGCTTAAATATCAAAATCATATTGCACCGCAAAGATAATGGGGGAAAGTTGTCCTACAAAACCTTTCTGCTTCGGTAATTTTTAACAAATGATCAGAAATTAAAGCTGTGAGCAGCATTATGCAGCAATCAACTTTCCGAGAGGTGACTAAATTATTTTGCAGAGTGATCCCTGGATGATGCATTGATCAGAAAGCAAATTTTATATCATCATCTTTCATTTTGACGTTACTCACCCCACTGGAGAGGAGCCAACTGCAGGTGCTCCAGGACAAGCTGACTGAGAACGCCTTCCACCCGTGCTTCACCTTCACGCTTCAAAGAGGGGTAAATGATAGTTAAGGAACACCAGAGAGAAATGTAGCTTGTGCCACCTTAGCCTTTAAGACTAAAATGTATGCGACACAGTTTCAGGCTATTAACTCCGAATTAAGTAAAGTAATGAGAAAATGCAATTGCTCAGAAGAGAGATCAAACTGGGAACCCAGGAGATACCACTTCTAAACATGATAAACGGGAACAAGTAACAGAGATATTGTGTTAAACTGCGTTAAAACTGGTGGATGCGAAATCCGTGGATACAAATAGCCAACTATATATGTTATAACTTTTCAAGGCCTGCCAGTCTTGCTGCCTGAAACGGATATCTTATTAGGAAATGGCAAGGATTTAATCTAAACAAACACTGATCCTTAAAAAACAACCTCTTACTAAAGTTCTTAAGTCCAAAACCTCTATTTCTTTGGAAACTATTTTGTGTTTCAGTAGCTAACACAAAGGATAGCACAGTTGTCAAAGAAGTAGTTTCAGATTTTAGGAATACTCTAAAGCAGTGATTCTCAACCTGTGAGTCCCCAGGGGTTTTGGCCTACAACTCCCAGAAATCCCAACCAGTTTACCAGCTGTTCTGGGAGTTGAAGGCCAAAACATCTGGGGACCCACAGGTTGAGAACCACTGCCCTAAAGATTTGGGAAATATTACAAGGTACTGCAAGTATGCACATGACCACCACCTTTAAGGATGCTTAAGAAATCTGATGCTATATGTTGAGCATACAGTCCAATGCAGAAAGGTTGGTATTTGTATCTAAGATACCATACTGACATAACGTTTGGAGACGTCACATAAATAATACTGCACTATACAAGACCCTACACAAGGTATTATAGCCCTAATTGCTTTCAAATTGCTATGGAGTTAGACCTTGGGCATTTTGCTGGGGAGATATTTTTTCCTGTCCCACTTGTCATTTCCCATGTGAATATACAAAGGTGAATGAATGCATCCCAGTGCTACTTCAGCACAAATAAATCAGCATATTTTCATAAACAGAAATTATACTAATGGAAAACTGCTTAAAATGATTAATGAATATCTGTTATCATACATCTTTCCTCTCTCATATGCATTTTGATTATTTGAAATACTGATTATCATAGCATTTTCATCCTTTTAAACACATTTATGGATGCTTTCAGAACCCTCCTCTTCCTATTGCTCACTCAGACTTTAGAAGATGCTTTCCAGTGTAAACCTCTTTTCATAGTGGTTATGTCTTAAAGCAGTGTTTCTCAACCTTCCTAATGCTGTGACCCCTTGATACAGTTCCTCATGTTGTGGTGATCCCCAACCATAAAATTATGTTCGTTGCTACTCCATAAATGTAGTTTTGCTACTGTTATGAATCAATGTAAATATCTGATATGTATGATGTATTTTCATTCACTGGACCAAATTTGGCCCAAATACATGATATGCCCAAATCTGAAAACTGGTGGGGTTGGGGGAGATTGATTTTGTTATTTGGGAGTTTTAGATGCTGGTATTTATAGTTCATGTACAATCCAAGAGCATTCTGTACTCCACCAATGATGGAATTGAACCAACCTTGACACAAAAAATTCCCATGAGCAAAAGAACATACTGGAAGGGTTTGGTGGGCATTGACCTTGAGTTTGGGAGTTGTAGTTTACCTACATCTAGAGTGCACTGTAGACTCAAACAACTTGGTGCGACTTGGGAAGTTAATATTTATAGCTCTAGAGCTGATAGGTCCCTATATTAGGAAAAAGATGGGATAAAAATGAAGGAAATAAAAAAGGAAGGGAGATAGGCAACGTATAATTTGTTGAAAGAGTTCACCAACTGCAAAGCCACTGCAAGAAGACGGTTTGTGCAGCTTTCCAGAGATTTTGCCAGGTCTCAGATGGCATCTCTTTTGAAGAAGGATGTAGTTGCCTACAGGCCATGGATGCAGAAGCAACATAGGAAACTTGATCCCAATGCCTCACCCTAAAGGCCCCCAACTCAGTGTAAAACATGGGGAAGGCGGGTAGCAGGAGGGTCTCCTCAAATGCCCTTGTTCAAATTGTTTCAGTTAGCTTTCCTCTGACTACAAGTACTTCCCACTTCTAAAGGCCTACGAGTCATCTTCCTTGCCAAAATAGTTTTTCAAGCTGCCAAACTTCCCCAAAAATAGCCTTAATTTTAAATTATGTACTAAATATTTAGAAAATATTAATAAAAAGCACAGGATGAAGAAATATTAGCCTGTCTAAAAATTGTGTACCATCTGCTCAAAAACTCAATGGCAGCATGCTGTACAGGCAACAGCAGATGCCATCAGCACATGCTTGATTATAAACATATAAGCCACCCTGCGCTGAGCTATCAAAAATCACTACATTACACTATTTAAGTAAAAACTAATATCTTGTTTATTTGAAACCCAACAGATCATTTCTACGCATGAGGCGCACTTCCCCATCTGTACCACCCCGCAGAGCAAGAAGCTTGTTGAGCATCTTTCAATAGCCTGGCACCTTCAGATGTGTGATTACAACTTCCACCATCTTGAAATAATGTGGTGGGTGGACATGACATGTGCTCCAGTCCTGCACATCTGGAAAGTGTCAGTTTGATGAAGGCTGTAGTAAATTAATTATTTTCCTGTCCCATTGACAAGCTTAATCTCCATCCAGTCTAAAATGGGATCCTTTTGCACCTTTGAGGCTACTTCAGAGGGGAAAAAAATGAAAACACAGGTTTTGGTAGACTAACTGTACTCCATCAAATGCATGGAGTGACGCGCTTAGGACAGATATATACACCCATGAATGAGCAGATTGCGTATATGAATAGCTATTAGAAATGCAGAACTTGCAATTATTGATAGCAAATTCAGTTTCAACAATAGCAGGAGATAAGGGCAAGAGAAAAGATTGTGCCTAAATCCATGACAAGTAGATAACCATATAAATGACAGAGGGAGCTTTTGCAATATAGTATGATGCTGGCTGGGAACCAGAAAGGAGATCTGAAGTCCTAGATGGAATCTCCAGAAAGACTGAAATGTTATGCAACTGTTTTTTGTGTGTTCCCATACCTAATGTCTGCTTTATGTCTATGTGTCTTTCGGTACAGAGACTGCAGAATGTTGAAAAGCATAACTGAGGGTGGTATACATCACATTGAGGATGGCAATGGGATTTCAACAACATCCACCAAGTAACTTTCACTCGCTTATCCCCTAATGCAGTGTTTCTCAACCTGGGGGTCAGGACCCCGGGGGGGGGGGGGGTGAGGGAGTGTCAGAGGGGTTACCAAAGACCATCAGTCAACACACTATTTTCTGTTGGCCATGGAAGTTCTGTGTGGGAAGTTTGGCCCAATTCTATCGTTGGTGGGGTTCAGAATGCTCTTTGAGTGTAAGTGAACTATAAATCCCAGCAACTAAAACTCCCAAATGTCAAGGTCTATTTTCCCCAAATTCCACCAGTGCTCACATTCGAGTGTAGTAAGCGTTCATGCCAGGTTTGAGTCCACAGTGCTCTTTAGATATAGGTGAACAACAACCGCAAAACTCAAGGTCAATGCCCACCAAACCCTTCCAATATTTTCTGTTGGTTCTGGGAGTTCTGTGTGCCAAGTTTGGTTCCATTGCATTTTTGGTGGAGTTTGGAATACTCTTTGATTGTAGGTTAACTATTAATCCCAGCCACTACAACGCCAAAATGACAAAATTACGCCCCCCCCCCCCCAAATCCCACCAGTATTCAAATTTGGGCGTATAGGGTGCTAAATTTGGTCTAGTCAATTAAAATACATCCTGCATATCAGAAATTTACATTATTATTCATAACAGTAGCAAAATTACAGTTATGAAGTAGCAATGAAAATAATTTTATGGTTGGGGCCACCACAACATGAGGAGCTGTATTAAGGGGTTGCGGCATTAGGAAGGTTGAGAAACACTGCTCTAATGCGATATATGTGCTCATTACATCAGGGGATGGTAAGACATTATACAGAACACACTGAAAAATCTAACAGCATCCCACATAAAAATACTTTTCTGAAAGGATATAATTTTCCAGAGAATGTCTAACTTGCTGTTGATCTCCAGACCTTTTGCTTGTTGTCTCTCTTCTTCCAGCTGCTTTGGGTTTGCAAATTGTGTGTTTTCCCCAGGGGAGTCCGGATAGTTTTCAAAGTTGAACTTGTCAACTTGGATAGCCATCCTGCGAAAACAAACAAACAAACAAACAAACAAAAAACAAATCACTATTTGAGAAATTTTGATCTTGATCACATGATGAATTTTGATGACATAAAAAAGGAATCAGTAAAAAGGGTTGTCAAGTGATCTCAGTCAATATGCAGGAAAAAAAGTGAATACAAACTACGTAGCCCATTTGTAAATAAGAGAACAGCAAATAGCTTTTGTAAATAAAGTTATTTTTTTAAAAGGCATGTGGTATGCGCTTCTCAAAAACAAGTATTATTAGATCCAATTGCAACCAGTGTATTTCAAAAATTCTAAGGCACACTTTTTCCCATATAAACATCTCAAAAAACGGGATTTTTCTGGAGCACAGTAGTTTAGCCTGCTCTGCTCATGTGATGTTTTGGAGAAGGGACCCAAGTCTAAATATTAAACTCATGCATATTTCATATACACTGAGTGCACATGACCTGAAGGTAATTTTATACAATCTTTTAAATATTTCTGCACATGAAACAATAAACATAAACATCAGAAAATGAAGCGGTCACTATCTCAGCTGCCCATGCAAATAATTTTGACATCCAGTATTTCAGAGTATTTGTATGGAACCTATCCCTGCTTCTAACTTTGGGACCAAATTCCCTGTTGATGATGTAATATTAAGAAAAAACATCAACTTCTTTAACTAAGATGAACCTTTATTATAAATGTTAAGGCATTGATTTTGATTAAAATAGTAAAATAGCAAATGCAATAGGCAACTGATAAGAACATTGATGAAAATTAATCTTGTAGCACCTTTTATTTTAACTAAGGTAAAGAAGTTTGGAGTATAAACCTTCACAGATTATACATACAAGCACGCACGCACACCGACAGGCAAGTATATAAGCTGAAGAATCTTGAATAAGAAGTTACTACTACGATGTTGGTTCTTCTATTGTAAATATGGGCCTCAAACACAGTTGTTCATTTTAATGCATTTAAATTTAATTACTCTAAGGCATGCTACAGAACACAACCTATTTTATGGGCCCCCTGGTGGTGCAGCAGTTTAAACCACTGACTTGCTGAACTTGCTGATCAAAAGGTTGGTGGTTAGAATCCGGGCAGCGGGGTGAGCTCCCGCTGTTAGCCCCAGCTTCTGCCAACCTAGCCGTTCGAAAACATGCAAATGTGAGTTGATCAATAGGTACCGCCTTGGCAGGAAGGTAATGGCACTCAATGCAGTCATGCCGACCACATGACCTTGGAGGTGTCTATGGGCAATGCTGGCTCTTTGGCTTAGAAATGAAGATGAGCACCACCCCCCAGACTTGGACATGACTAGACTTAATGTCAGGGGTAACCTTTACCTTATTTTATGGTTTCTCAAATTTATTTTACTAAATTTGTCATTTCAATTATCAAAGCATATTTAAAGATACTTATTATGCCTAATGACAATAAAAGAGTCCAAACACTGTGTATATTGCTACCAGTCACCGAAAAGGAGGACATAGGGTGTGTGGTTTGTGTTTCTACATTATTTTACATAATTCAGTTTGTATGCACCTTGACTGTAAAATGCTACTACACAGGAGACAGACAGGTTTCAGTTTGTGTATTAGTTCAACAGTATTAGGTTGCTTTCCATCTCTTTGAAGGATTACTTGTGGGGCCCTGGAGTACCCAATATACTGTTTGTTTTAATTAACATAACAAGTATAACATACTTTCTATGACTTTTTTACAGTGACAGTTTTCAGTTAGAACTCCTCCTGCCCTACTGCCTTGCACATGTACTGCTGATGGCTAATTATGTGCTAAAGGAATGAACTTTAACAAACACTGATGATTTCTCAACTACTGTTTTTATGGCTCAATCCAATACAAGCTTCTACGAATGCGTAAACATAATTAGGAACTGAAATTTTGATTGCAACATTAGAAATAATTAGTTTTTATACATAGCTAGCTTCATTCATCCAACAGTTTTGATACACACGCCCTATCTGTGTAAACACAAAGATTGCGATTTGTATAAATCACCCAATACTTACTAAGCTCTTCAAGCCCAAAAATATTTGCCAGGCATTTAAATGTCAATTAAATTGAAGATATAGGCTGGGCATTCCTTATCTCGCATTCCAAAATCCAAAATTGTCCACATGGATGGCTGAAATAGCAACATTTTTGCTTTCCGGTGTTTCAGTGTACTCAAAGTTTGTTTCTTGCACATAATTATTGGAAATAGTGTGTAAACGGTGCATGTGAATCATATATGAATTTTGTATTTAGATATTCCATTATGTATGTATACTCAAAGACATGACAAAACAAATCTAGAAAGCCAAAATACTTAAGTCCCCAAACATTTCAACCTGCACAGGCAGACCCCAAGTTACAAACACGATAGGTTCTGTAGGCTTATTCTTGCTTCTCAATTTGTATGTAAATTGGAAAAGGTAGGTTTTAAGTGTAACTCTAGGTATATATATTATTTTATTATTTATTTTTTTATTAGGAGTATTTGTATACCACCCTTCTCAACCCCGAAGGGGACTCAGGGCGGTTAATTGGACAATTGGATTTTGAAAAATGTGGCTTGTTATGAGAGCGATCTGGCTGCGACATCTGTCACCCAATTGATTGCCAGAGTTGATTCGGTTGAACTAGCTGGCTAGTTGGGTGCCTCCTTCCTCCCTCTCCACTCCATGTGCATTCCTCCCGAAGCTGCACTCTCGGTGGAAGAGGACAACGTCCCAGGTATAGAAGGAGTGTACCGAGGTCTCCAGTCTTCGGTCCCGGGTATGTCACTGTGGGACTAAGAATTCAACCAGTAAATAGTGCAATAATGGAATTGACAACTGGACAGGCCTCGGACTACAATCTGGATTACCTGATTTTAATTTATGTTTTAATGATTAATGTTTAATTGTATGGTTTTAGTTGTATTTGTTTATTTTTAAATTTATATGTATTGGCATCAAATTGCTGCCTGCTGTAAGGCCAACCTGAGTTCCCTTTTGGATAAGAAGGGCAGGATACAAATATGTGAAATAAATAAAAAAATGCATTGTTGTGGAATCAAGGAGAAAGTTTCTGTGGAGATCCTTTCCCCCATGATAACTCTGTCAGGAGTGAATTTCCCTTCTAAGGGGTAGATTTCTCTTACTTCCTGTTGTCTCACACCCATTTGAAAGTCGGATGTTTGTAACTCGGGGACTACCTGTACTTTGGATTGTATTTGTTGTCACAAACAGGAAAAAAACACCGATCATCATACACGCATACTCATTCCAAAACCAGTTTGTGATGCAGGAAGTAAATTTTCGGAAAGCCTTTGGGTAAGAAAGGGGAAAACAAAACAAGCCAAACCAAGGTAATCGCGATGACCTCGAGTTCCCACCTCCCAAATCTTGGTAGAACAATCCTCCTACAGCTCTGCAAGTTAATTATGTTTCCACAATCCCTTCTGTCCAACTCAGTCAGAGTATGAAGAGGAAAGGAGTCAAAGGGGACAAGGGGGTAATTGTTCCTCTGTGTGTCCAGGAAGGAATTATTATTCAAAAGCACTATACCAATAGACCAGCTAAACAACGGAATTAGGACCAAGGTTTTATGGAACCACCAAGGAACCCAGCATATCAAACGATGTTTAGTTACAGTGCAAAGGGGAGAATGCCTAGTTTAGAAATAGAAGTGGACAAAAATAAGAAAAGTATGTATCTTAAAGAGAACAGAAGTCAGGACCAAAAATAGCATCAATTCATAAATCAAGGCAAAACCTTGGAAAGGAAGAGATAGACTTCATAGTTCAATCTTGTATACCTCAAACCTCTCACTAACTTGAGATGTATTCAATTAATGATACATTCGGAATAGCCATGGGAGTCTGATGTTCTGTAATTATGTAAGAAGCTGTATACATTCCCTTGTGAACTTCATTATAACAGTTTTGCTAATTAGCAGAGACTCATCCTTGGCCCTGAAAGTCTGAATCAGCAGAGAACACAAATGGAAATGCAGCCTACATGTTGCTCTCACTCCCTGGATTCTTAGAATATAGTATTCAGCATTATGGGTATTCTGAACTTTTTCACAACAAGTTTATTGATGAGTAACTTATACCAGCATGGAGTTTAATAACTACTGTATTATTACAGGACATCCCAAGGCATAATAGCCATCAAAAGTGTCAAGAGAGCAAGAATGTGACTTTGTAAGGATCTCCAGGTTGCAAATGCACAAAAACTATTCAAGGAATAATTAACAGGTCTTAAAGAATATCTGGCACCTGTTTTCAGCCTCACTGAGTAGTATACTAATACTTATTTGGATTCTAGTGTACAGTATAGTGCACCCGATGGCGTAATGTGTTAAACCCTTGTGCTGGCGGGACTACTGACCAAAAGTTCGGCAGCTCGAATCCGGGGAGCAGGGTGAGCTCCCGCCAGTCAGCTCCAGCTTCTCATGCTGAGACATTAGAGACACCTCCCACAGGATGGTAAAACATCCAGACATCCCCTGGGCAACGTCCTGGCGGACGGCCAATTCTCTCAAACCAGAAGCAACTTGCAGATTCTCAAGTTGCTCCTGACATGGAAAAAAATTGGTGACAGTCTAGCACTTCACCTACATTCACTACATACTTGAGATAATCAAAAGGGTTAAAGAATGAGACATACTGAATAATGTGAGATCTTTTTTCTGAGAAACACAGTATTCAATTTCACCATACCTTTCAAAGAAAACAGCATGAGTGGGTATAAAAATGCCCTATACTTAAACTTTACGTGAGCTGTCAGCTTTGCTTTATATTGCATAATGTTCTCACTAATAAAAACATGCCATCAGAAAGGTCTCCAATATAATACAGATCATTTAAAAAAAAAGCTGCATTTTGTGGTAAAGGAATGCTCAGTTAAATGCGTACTTTGCAAAAGAAAGATACAATATTTTGACAAAAAAATTGCTTGTAACAAGAGCTAGACCAACTTAGTTTCAATAGTCTGCCCTTTCCTCTGCATT